TAAGAGGGCATGGACGTTAGTGTACTCTATAGAGGGAGGCATCATTCTGCTAGCACCAGCATAATCGTTCATTATTCTTTAATCTTCAGCGATTGAAGCTGGTCGACAAATAAACTCTAGTAATGCCTATTTTAGTATTTTACTATAATTTTAGTATTTTAGTTTTTTTAACTTTTTTTTCTGTTTTCCTGGGAGAGCTGAGAGGTTACTGCAACGCCGGTTCATCACTAACTCTTCTGCGAGTAGTGGCCTGATGTAGCGGCATAGTTTTATCTATCTATATCTATATCTATATCTATATCTATATCTATACATATCCATAATGATTCCATATCCATATACTTATTAAGGGACCAAGCGGTCCTCATAAGATGCTTCCCGCGGGCCCAGCAAAATTGAGGCCCGCGCGGTCATTGCATGGGACACGCTGTGTTTCAGGGAGTAATGTATCGAGTTGGTTTTATTTTTTTTGTCGCAGGTGACGCGTGATCGAGGTTAAGTGGTATGTTTTTCGTTTATGTCGTTGCCTGTTTGCTGTCCCCCGGTGGCGGCATCTGGGATCTGGCATTTTTGTCTTTTTGTGATGCCAGTTGCCCGTTCGCGCACCTTTTGTCAATGCTCTTTTTTGAAGTTTTCAAGTTTTTTGTCTTTTTGTGGCGCCAGTTGCCCGTTCGTGCAGCTGTCGTGTTGCATGTTAGAACACAAGTACACAGCAGATCCTCTCACAGTTTTTGGGTCTGTTTATCTTCGTTGTATATTCACAGCTTTTGGGTCTGTTTTTCCTTGTTGTGTTACGATCCTGGCTATTTCCAAAGTGCAAATTCACAAGGAAAGACAATGCCACCCAATTGTGAAAGAAATGAAAGCGCTTGCAAAGAGATAGAGACCAAAGAAGAAGAAGAAGAAGAAGAAGAAGAAGAAGAAGAAGAAGAAGAAGAAGAAGAAGAAGAAGAAGAAGATGTACACCAGCAAGACCAATGACAATCCCCCCTTCTCTCTCCACCTTCCTTCTTCTCCTTGTCTCCGCCAATCTTATTCTTCTCCCAAATGATAATAATAACAGTGAGTGGTTGAACCAGAATCAATATCCGAAGTTCCCTCTTACTGCCAACACAACATTAGGTCCACCATAGCCATGGCTTCCCGTTCACCTTCCTCTCACATGCCAAGGCTATGGTGGACTACTAAGGGCTCTGCCCTCCTGTGCAAAAGACAACTCAAAGCAGCTATGGTCGCTGCTCTTGAGGCCGCCATGCCTGACTCTGCCTCGAAGCTTCCTTGGAGCGGCACTACCCCAACTGGGGCGTTGCAGATGCAGCGCCTAGCAAGGTGATGAAGATGGTGTCCACCATAGCTTGGTAGGTACCTCGCCACTCTCCTCCTTTGCCCCCTTCTTCCTCCTCAAGCTGGGCTGCTCGCCATAGCCAGGCTGAGTGCCCAGCTGCTCTTCGTTCTCCCAGGCAGCGCTCTGAGTCCAAGCTGCCCGCTTCGCCCAAACTTGCACACCACAAATGAGGAGAAGCTACTTGCTCCTCCTCAAGATATAGCGGCCTACTTGCCTCGTGGACGGTGACTTCCTAGGCCGTGCGGCCTCCCAGCAACCGGTACCCCCTACCTTTCGGAGGGAAACATCATTGCAGGCTCTGATATCGTCCGTACAGGCTCTAGACTCAGGCTACTTGGACTGGTACCGGCCTACCTCTAGCCTACCGCTACTGGGCCTCTAAAAATGCCAACTTTTTGTCTTCTTCTGCTCGGCCTCGAGTACCGGACACTTCTACCACTACTTGAGTGGTACCGGCCTACCTGCTGCTTGAGTGTTTTTCCCACTGCTCTGATTGCCACGGGCCTACCCCCGCTGCTTGAGTGCTTTTCCCGCTGCAACCCTCAAAGTCACGGCCACAGGTAAGTACCGGCCCTGCGGGGCCTCCAAACCAACAAGTACCCTTGCGGGTCACACAAATACTCAGGCAAACAAGTACTCAGACAGGCACGCAGACCAGCAGGCATGCACACACACACAGACTTAGAAAACTCAGCAGAATGCAGGAATCTCAGCAAGGCATACAATCCAGCGGGGAAACCCAGAAATCAGCAGTGTTCTCAGTCTGTGTTTTGGAGGGTCGTTACAGTTGTATATTCTGGGTCTGTTTTTCCTTGTTATATAGTCTGGGTCTGCTTTTCTTTGTTGTATATTCCATACTTGCAAGCGGACGCCGTCCGGGCGGTTCCGCACGTGCGGCAGACCGCCGGACCGGACCCGCGCGGCGCACGCATGTGCGCCCGACGACCAGTTACGCCCCACCCCCCCCCCAAAAAAAAGAAAAAAAGGCCCCGTACGGTCCGGTCCACGTCCGTCTGGTCCGGGGGGAGGGTGCCGCAAGCGGCAAAGCGGACCGGACCGGACGCTCATCCGGTCCGTCTGCTTGCAAGTATGGTATATTCCAGTACAGAGCAGATCCTCTCACAGTTGTTGGGTCTGTTTTTCTTTGTTGTATATTCAAGTACATATCCGATCCTCTCACAGTTATCGGGTCTTTTTTTCTTTGTTGGGTCTGTTTTTCTTTGTTGTATATTCAAGTACCGAGCTGATCCTCTCACAGTTATTGGGTCTGTTTTTCTTTGTTGTAATCTCAATTACATAGCAGATCCTCTCACAGTTGTTGGGTCTGCTTTTCTTTGTATAGCAGATCCTCGCACAGTTGTTGGGTCTGTTTTTCTTTGTATAGCAGATCCTCTCACAGTGTTGTATATTCCCATGTTGTAGCGGGAGATTCATTCCTGCTGCTGCTGTGGCGACATGTTCGAATACAAGTTGTTTTTCTGCTCGAATACAAGTTGTTTTTCTGCGCTCTATCTTCCCATGTTGTAGTGGAAGATGCATTCCCGCTGCTGTGGCGACATACCCGCATACAAGTACATACAGTGTTGGGTCTCGCCTTTTTCTTTGTTGTATATTCCCATGTTCTAGCGGAAGAACTGCAGCTCCGTGGGGCGTGCTCAGACTGGGACATTTCTTTTTTGTCACAAAAGGCTAGGCATTTCTTGAATGTATCTGGCTGCAGTTACGGCCCGACAACTCCTTGAGCCATACTCACACTGGGATTTTCTTTTGAATGCATCTGACCGTACTTACAGGCAGACAGCTCCTTAGGGCACAACGGCACTGGGACTTTTTGGGACATACATTGGGACGTAGGGCACACTCACACTCCGACTTTTTACTCACACTACTACTTACGGCACACTCACAGTCTGACTTTTTTCAATGTATGTGATTATAGTTACGTGAGAGCTCCACTCATCCGAATGAAATCACCTCCCTGTGTGAGTATGCCCTTACTTCTCTCTGGTTCCCATCACTGTTTTTTCCTTTCCTTTTTTCTTTTTTTTTTTAAGAGAAAAGTTGCCGTTTTATTATATAGTCAACAAAAAATGAGGCTAGGAATTCCTCAACATCTCAACCCGGATAGTGCTGGGGCCATTACCGAGATTAGGCTTGAGCTGGAAACCGAGTCCAGCCTCCCTTCACCTGCAAATTCCCAAAAAAAACTCAAAACCGGACAAAAGATTAGGCAGAAAAATGAAAAAGTGAGAAAATGAGACCAGGGGCTGTGAACCTTTTTCTGTGGATCTCTTCTCCTAAACTATTCCCGATAACTAAGAAATAATTCTTCTAACTCACTTAATCCCTACTGCTCTACCTTCTACCATACCCCCCTTTTTCCCCTTGGAGAAGTTAAGCCCTTAACCCTGTACCCTTAACCCTGTAAACCCTAAACTCTACGCCTTCCGTGACCTAACCTTTCTGCCCTCCATCCAGTGTATCCTGTTTCTCCTGCTAACTGCGTGTACCCTAAATACCTAGATATGCTATTCCTTTTGTTGGATCTACAGACCGCGCTTCCCTTCGAGTTCCCCGTCTTCCCCCGAACATAACGCACCCTAAAAATGAATGTATGCACGCTATATTTCCGGCCAGATACTGCCAAAATGAGGGTGCGTTGTGTTCGGGGGAAGACGGTAGTTTGATCCCACCGATCTTGAACCCTGGATAGTGGCTACTTTGTCCCGCCCAGGATCCTTTTGACAAAGCGGGTCTTCAATTCCTGAGCCTATTCTGGATGCTGTAGTATTTGTCCGTGTGTTCTTTTCCACTTCGCCTGGAGGTCTGTTTCCAGTAGAGTGTGGTGGATCTGTCTTGCCTCCTGTCTGTGCACTTGCCTCTTTTCTATGGTGATCTGACACCGCCTCTTCCAAGTAGTCCATAATATGTACTGTCTCAGAAGCTGGAAGATAATCTTCTCGAATGGGTGCTTTAGGACAATGCTCCAACCTATTCTTGGGGAGCAACACGTGCTGGGAACCGGGCCCGGCGTCCCTTGAGAAGTATGACTGGGCAATTTAGAGATACCGGGCCAAGTAGACCCACATTTTGTCGATTGACCCGTTTATGGCTGATGAAAGACGACGACGATGAATGTACAGTAACTTAAAAACCCACCTCTGTATATCGCAGGGGCGCTACAAACCGGTGAAGAAGGAGGAGGATCTACAACAGGCTGACTAACAAAACACGTACGGGCAAAGCACTCAAAAGCAAGAGATTCGACCCCACCACATGTGCAATCGCGATGTAACCAAAATCGCCACCTTCTACTAGGCTTGTACGCACAACCAGAACGAATCACAAAGCTGAACGAGCACGAATCCCCATTCGATCGAGCGAAGGTCATGGTAATTTCTCACCGAGCCAAAGAAGAAAAAGAAGGAAGACAACTTAAAGAAATCCTCATCTTTTGGGGCATCACGTCCATATTAAAATTGGAACGGTTCAGAGAGAGCACATTAGCATAGCCCCGGAGAAAGGATGATAAACAGATTGAGAGATAGGACATCAATATATAATATATATCAGTCAGTAATAATCACACTAAAGAAAGGGAAGGAAGAAGAGGACAAGAGTTCACGATTGACTGGCTTTTTGTCGGGTACTTACTTCAAGCTATATGTCCTCTGATATATCATGGTGACGGATGGAAAGATTGAAAGGCAAGTTGAGGAGGAGTCCTTGTCGGTGGACAGGACTATTTTAATAAACCGCCGGGCGCACGCGGACCTTTTGAAGAAACTAAAGTTAAGAGAAGTGCAGCTGGAATCGGAGAGGCTTGAGTTGTGGGAAAAGAGTTTCATACGTTGGCGTTCTCTTAAGGCAAAGGTAAGCTTCTATTTCATTTTTCTTTTCACTTTTCGCCAGTTTCTTGGTGGCATTTTTACTGCTCTGCAAGTCCACCGGCCGTTATTTCAAAAGCTGTCTGCAGGGAACCCAACTTCTTTGTCTTTTGTGTCTAATCTCAGCAAAGTCAGCAAATGATGACTGTAGTTAGCAAAAATGGACTCTAGTTAGTTATAAAAGTGGACTCTTGCTGGTTGCAAAAGCTGACGCCTGTTACAGAAGTTGACTCTAGTTATAAAAGCTGACTCTAGTTACGAGAGCCACTATCGTCCCCCTATCGTCTTCACCCGACTAGAACACCCGGTAATTATCATCGTATCTGGGCTGAAAGTTGTGCCAAATACAGCTATAATGACGGGGCGTTCTATTCGGGTGAAGACGGTAGTAGAACGGACAATCATCAGAGCTGTATTTGGCGCAACTTTCAGCTGTGCGCTCTACTTTGTGAAGGCGGTACGACTAAGTACTAGACAGATGTGTCGGCCTGGAAGGATTAAAGAGGCCTGTCAGCTGAGGGGCTCAAGTCCTTGTTTTTCTAATTTGGTATTTCGTACTGTTTCCCCTCACAAAACCCCACCCCACTCCCTTTTTGTGAAATTTCCCCAGTGCAACCCCCCTCCCTTGGTCGTACCTCAGGGTCTACCACTCAGGATAATCACCCCTCTTACCATTTCTTGGTGGGATGACCTGACCGGACAGTAGTCACAAGCACCAGTGCTAAGCAGGACATCCTGTTCAGCCCTGGTTGAAGCACACGTTCAAACGAACCCTGTTGTATGGGTGCCTCGGAAGCAAAAGGCGTGGACATTTCATTACAGGTCCCGTGAGTAGACCCTAGATTCCCCCTGAAATTCTGTACCCAGGTCACTGTATATGTCTGAATGTTCTCCTTGAGCTACCACACACAGTTTCTAATTGCCCAGGCCAAAGGTCTAACCTATGACAGCATCTGAGCTACCCGAGCAGAGCCCCCTAGCCAAGCTGTTCTGTTGATCTCGTTGTTGTTATTTGGTTGCTATTGCTCAGCTCTTGGTTTAAAAAGGGAATGGCCCCAGCGCCCAACTTGTCGACTATAAGATTGAATACAACGATGATAGTGGGGCCGTTACCTCACACTTTCCCCCAACAACCTTCCTTCCCAACCTTACTTCCCCCCACTGCGCCCCCACCTCTTTTCAATACCCGCTCCCCCTTCTCCCCCGAACCCATCCACCCTCCAAAACCGCCTCTTCCTCTTCAACAGCCAATGGAAGGGGAGGAACGGGAAAAAGGGGAGACAAAGCAGGAGGAGGTGGGAGTGGGATACCCCGAAGAGGCCAAAGGGCAAAGAGGGGGAAGGGTAATGGAGATAATGTGTGGGAAAAGTCAGATGATAGCACCCCGCTTCATCTCCTTCGAAAGAGCAACCAACAAGCTACAACTCTTCACCGAAACAGGAGGATGATCCTGACACACCACAACTCGAGGAGTAAGAGGGGGAGGAGGAACAGGAGGAGCAAGAGAAGAAGGTGACAGCAAGGAGGACAACGGAGAGACAACAACAACACACTACTCTTGGCTGCCTTCATCTTCAGAGGCCGCCTACGTCAATGATGAAGATGACCCCTTGTTGCTCCAAGAAACTAATGATCAGTTCTCTATCACAGGAAAACACAACAAGACAAATGATGAACCAATGGCAACTCCCGATGATGATGACGATGCCCCATCAGCCCCATTGCTGTCCCTCCAAAACGACTGTTACCAAACATAGTTCCACGAGCTGTCATCCCTTGCCACACCACCGTCCACTTTGGTGAAAGGCAAGCAACTCCGCAAAGGTCCGAGGGCATCGACAACATGCTGACCCACCTGCGTGTACCACACAATAAACATACCGCAGTGTTGGAGCTTGCTTGAAAAACCGAACAACGTGGTGTTGACTCCCGACAACCGACAACCCCACAGCCTCGGTCAGCGGTTGCTAGCATTAGCCTGTAGCACTTGCGACCAATAGCACTCGCCTGTTCTTCATGGCCTTCCTAAGGTCCCCCTTTGCAACTCAATTCTACCTCTCTTTGTAGTCAGTTATCACTTCCCCCCACCAAGGTCAGGACAACTGTCAGTGCTGTTGCATTTGATTATCTCCGCTTGATTTGTCAATCGGTAACCATCCTCCCCCATCCACTGTGGTGGACCAAACCCAGTGATACTCCCCTGCCACCCACAACCCAGGGTATGACCCATCCCCAGTCCACACCCACCCGCTACAAGGACACCCATTGCCCACTATGATGATGCCTTCACAAAGTGGTACTCCCCTAGGGTTGGCCAAGCCGTCTATAGCCCCTTGCTGCTGTCCTGCCACCTGCAACCCTGAGTAGGAAGGAACACCAAAAGCGAGGGCAGCTTGGAAGAGCTCGCAAACTCCTACTTCTCCTACAGCCACACCCGGCCCATATTGAACGTCCATAATATTTGGCAGCTGCAGCCAACCATAACTGCGGTTTAAAAATCCTCACAAGCTGGCCCAACAGCAGCTGGACCCAATTTGAGCGTACGGGCCCGCCCGAGCACAGACCTTGAAGAAGAATTGCAGCCGGACCGGCCCAGACCCAGATATTTTTTTCACCACCTGCCCCCACCCAGACCCTTAAGCACAATCATCCTCACCCACCCATATCTGGCATTATTTTAACTACCCTCACCCGCCCGTACCTGCCATTGCTTTTCCAAGTTTTCAACACCCTACTCACCCATACTCAGCCTGACCATTCCCACCTATACAATTGGTGGACCCGACAATATAGAACCCTTGATCAACCATTGGAACTCAAGAACAACTAGGTACATGGATGCCAAGTCTGGAGACAACTGCACATGCCACAAATGAGTGGGAGAAAAAAAGTCATGAGACAAAATTCAAAGCATATTGAGGTCACACCTCCAGCAGACCGGAAGGTCTGTTAAAAAAAATAAAAATAAAAAACATCGTGAAAAATAGGGGCCGGTACCCCTATAGACATATATGCATGCGTGTAGACCCCCACATATGCATATCGTTTTGGTCGGTGACCCGTGCCAAGTCTAGACCCGCCCCCAAGTCGCCATTTTTTTTTTCGTTTACAGAAGACCACCCAAAACTGGCCCATTTCTTTTCACCACGATCGGCCCAACCCGGCCCAGGGATCCTCCCATCACCTGGCCACACCTGGCCAGGTGGGACGTGGGCTAGCCAGACCTGCCTGCATCTGTCGGGTCTGGCTGGGGGAAGCTGGGCGCGGCTATGGCCAGCCATTTGAAGGCTCTGCAGCTTTCTGGGTCTCTACTGACAGTGAAGTGTGAAAGCATGTGGAGCAAACAAGATTAGGTAGATCCGGCCGGGCTCTAACAAAACATGGCCAAAGGTGTCCCCTATAATCGTAAGATTAGAGTGTGCATCCAGCTATATCGGGAAAACAGTCATTTATGATTTATGACATAATCCCCTAGTCTGCCACCACTCGCCTGGAACATTCACCTCCCTTTATGATGATGCCTTCTAGAGCAGTACTCCCCAAGCAGTCCCCTGCCAACTACCCCCGCTTGTCACCACCCTGCTCCCCCCAGAGCAGGACACCTCCCCCCCTTTCCCATCTCCTCCTGCCCTCCCAGAATAATCCGTTCATGGTAAAGCCTGATAGAGCAGGTTCCCTCCTGACCCTTGTCTCCTCTTCCCCCACTAAAATCAGGTTTTTTTTTTTCTTTTTCTTTTTTCTTTAAAGAACATGGATGGTGAAAATCATTCAGGAGCACGAAAACTGAAGTTGACAAGTTCTCTCTGGTCGTCCTGGGCAGAAACATGATGATCGCAGTATTCAAAGATGCAAGTCAAGGAGAGTAAAACAAATGAAGTTTTGATTTCCAAAGAGAGAGCACTAGCACCGGCGCGGTAAGCGCTACCGTTCCGTTTCCGCTCTATTCACCACCCAGCTTCGTCGAGCTTCGCCGCTCAGCGGGAACCCACGATGCGCGCAGTTCGCGCGCATCCTCTGCTTTCGAACTTACGAAAAGGTGGCAGGAAGGAGAGGGAGGGGTGAATATGCGTGTCACCACGCCACGCCACGCCTCAAGGCACCCCACGAAGGAGACAACGGGCAAGCAAAGGCAAGGGCGAAAAGGGGGAGAAGGAAGGAAGGGATCCTAGAGGAAGAAAAGGAGTGGGGAAACAGCCAACGAACAGGAAAAGATAAAGAACAAAGGGAGAGAAGGAAAGAAGGGAGGCATGACCCTTTTCCAATCAAAGGAAAACGACATCCGAGGAAAACAAGGAAACAACGCGACGGAGAGATGAAGAAGCTACAGCACTCACGCCATCATCACGGCCCAGGAGGTTAGAGCGTTCCCCTGCGGAAATCAAGGTAAGAACAAAGGGCCCTCTTCTCGAACCCCACCAGGCGCAAGAGACAAAGGGCAGGGACAGCGACAAGACAGCGCAAGGACGAAAGAAATACCAACCCTTCAAGAGGAGGAGAAAGACAACCATCCGCAGATACAAAGGACATACGAACGAACCGAGTAATCATACCAAGCCTCCAGACCAGCTAGGGCATAATTTAGTACGACAAAAGCAGGATAGATCCGACACAGCAAGCGCTTTTTTTCCATGGTTAGAAAATTTCGATCCAAAGCAGCCCTAGGGCGGACAAGAGGACCATTAGTTTTAAGGAACATAAATGCTGGAAGCGAGGAACAAAGAAGAATAAGAACAACACAATCCAGGCGCGACATCGAGCAACCAACAATCACCCAGTCAACGACAAGAGAAGGAAGAAAAAGAACAAGAACGGACCGACGAAAAAGAGAAAGAACCCAAGCCTTTAGTCAAATAACCTAGAGCAGGAAAGCAGGGAAAGGGACAACTAACTAATAGAGGAAGGAACCCACAGTAGAACTCGTCACCATAGAGAGCTAATCCCTCAACCTAGGACTAGACTCGGGACGATTGATTGCAGCAAATTTAA